CCTCTTACTGCGAACAACACCCTAAAGGCGCCTAAGAACCTCAGCTGGACTGTCAGCACGGGAGTAATTGGGGCCATGCAATCGTGTTCAACTAGCCTTGCGAAGGATTCAGAGGGCTCCTAACCAATCAAGCAAGGTCACAGCCTGACTGATAAGGGTGCTGGATGAAAGTTGGTTATGGCCGGCAGCTCGGCCCCTTGTTTTTGCATGCTTGGACCGCCCGTTAGCTTCTAGCTTGGGGACATAGATCCGCTCATTTTTCTTGCCAAACTTGAGATGGAGGGGGCCAGAGTGTGAATTCGAGTCTTGACTTAAAAGGAGGTTCATCAGATTGCACGGGAGTACGTCTGTCGAGTTGTCAATTGCTTTCTCACCCTGATATCAAACCTCAACCTCTTTTCGGCATTGAGCTACGTCAATGTCTTCAACGGCAACAACGCAACGTTCTGGCTCCCCTAGAGAGACTTCCAGTTCCCCTGTGCGGTATCATCCTGTACCATCATCTCAGAACGATGGCTCGTTTTCCTCTGTGGCCATTATCTCCTCCGAACCCAAGTCCGATAGCCCGGCAGGACCAGGACAGCTAGATGAATCTCCACGAGGATACCTGCTTAGGAGATTCTATCTGAGGTCTGTTTTATTGGTGCTCGTCCCACCAGCCATCACTGCTTACTTTTGCGTGATTGAATGGGCTGTTATAACAAAAAATGCAGAGTCAAATCGATATGGTCACCGCATTGCTCTATGGGTGTACTACTCGTGGTTTATTATTGGTGTCTTCGGCTTGGGTATCTCCAAATTTGGACTCGCTGGCGTAGAGGCAGTTATGCTTCAGGACCGCCATTGGCAGGTCAATGATGCTATGGTTCTTCTAATGCATAGTGAACAGTCTTGATCTGGCTTCTCGGGATGGACGGAGTGTTTGCAGATGTCAATTACGCAAAAAAGAAGTGTGCCGCAACGGTTATGGTACTTGCTCGCCTTCATAAGTTTGATAATAACAATTGCACTGCCGATTTCTGGTCTTAGCATGGAACTGTTTGATGGATTTGTTCATACAAACGAACGTGCAACAGTAATCTGACATACTAAGGATAGCTTCAACGGAGAAATCCAGAACAAGTATCCAGGCGTGGTCGTCTCATGTTGCAAGCAAGTACCCTTCCCGTAATCCCAGGTGCAGGAGTAGTCTACACACCACAATACCTGGATCGAAGCCAATATAGCTATCTGGTGTCTTTCCCAAACTCTCTTCCACTTGATGAACAGGCTCCGGAGCTTTTTCTCGCACCGCAGGGTGAATACCCAGTTGCTGGAAGGACATGGGGACTCCGGTTGGGATACAACTGTTCTGTGGTCACGTCTGAATCCGAATTCACGGTCGTGGGACGTAAACCTGAGTTAAATTCAGAGGGGTAAGTATTTTCATATACCCTGGGACTCAGTTCACAAACCTTCAACCTGCTTGCGTACATGGAAGTCGGCGTAAGGAAGGTCACATCCTATTCAACCGACCAGGGTCAAAAGGAGCGATTCTCCCACGACAAAAAGCTCAACGATGTCGATATCTTCGAATACGCTTTCTGGCAGATTCGTACGAAGGCTACTTACGAAAACGAACGTCCAGTCAATTTTAATAATACAATCGCTTCGCCCTTTTCCGGCTTGGGAGGTCCACTGATCAAATTGGACAACGGCTCCTATCAAGTCAACACTACCTTCTTCGAAGAAGGCCAAGATCGATTGTTTAACCAAAGGAGGTATTTCAATCTGACAACAGAACAGTTGCTCGATATCATCGAACCTGCTCCCCCCATCGGGGTCCGCTGCCGCTTTGTTTCCCAACCAGGCGTCGCCACACTTGACCCATACCATTCGACATTCCACTCCTTCATCCACACACTCCCCAAACCTCTCGCTCACAAAGGATCTGAATACCGCGCTGACCCCTTCGGGAGAACTATTTCTGATATGCTCTTTTCCGCCACCTACGGCGCCACCTCAGCGAAATACGAAACATACGAGCAGCTATTCGAATCCACAAACTCGCCCCCACCAGAAGCGTACTCCAACGCCTCCCGCTACCTAGGCTTCCTCCAGCCGCACATAGTACTCCAGGCGATCATGCGCGCATTTGGCACGGAAGCTTTACAGCTGATGTATGATGGCATTAAGGGGTTTGAACAGGCGTACGAACATGAGAGTCTAACCGCTTCGTAGCCCGGAAAGATTCTTGGACCTGGCTCCGTGCCGGGTGTTTTCTCCATTGTGCTTTTCTATATTTGGTCAATTAGCTGTGTTGTGCTTGGTGTCGTATATGGCTTCAGGCGCCGTTGGGCAGAAACATTGGATGGATATAGTTTCTTCCGGTTTGGGGCGGACCGGGTGGAAGATATCAAAGGACGGCCTGACCTCGTTGGCTGTAATAAGGAGTTGGATCAAAGCGAGGGTTTGAAGGAGATCCCTGGGTTGATCGGCGATATGCGCGTGGGACAGCCCATTGGACATATTGGATTAGTGGCAAGGAAGAATGTGGCAGACAGAAGTAAACTGTATATGTGATCGTTAAATTCTCTTTTGGGGGGGGGGGGGGGGTTAGGGATGAATGGAAGGATTGGGGTATTATTAACCGTTAATGATTAATTATCATTAATTATCATCTATTTTGCTAATCAAAGACATGGATGAGCTTTATGCCTTTGAAACTATGCGAGTATAAATTCTCAATGGCAATTCGTTGACGTTGCTTACAACAAATCACGGCTTTTTCACGGAACAATTTAAAAGGGGCGGAGCGGAGAGTGTCTCGGAAGAATGAACACTTTTAGCACTCATAATTACTACTTAGACGGCGGCGCATAGCTATGATACACACATCCAATATGAAAAGCACTTTTTCCCCGTTCCTTTTCCTCGGTTGTACTTATTTTGCAATTCAACCCAGTCTTGTACACATACTATCCTTCTGAAATATTTCTTAATTATTGTTACCACGCCTCCCCAACGCTGATATCAACAAACCCAATGGGTCCACTCAGGCTGACTGACGGTATTCCCACCGAATAGTTTGTGTTCGTGTTCGAGGCATACAGATAATTGCTGCCGCTGTAGGGACATGACCAATTTATTGTGCAAATTTTGTCATAATTGGTTTCATCATACAGCTCGAAGGACCCTTGGGTGCCAACCGCCGTATCTTCTCTGCCGCAGCTGAACACATCGTTTGAGCCCCCATCCTCTCCGACCACAATTTCATCCACTTGCTCAGCACTGATCTCGTCGTCCTTGTCGTCGTTTGTGTAAAATTTGCCGCTGTACAAAGGTGGCGTCAGGTTATTTAGCTTGGTCAATTCAAACTCAACCACAGCCATTCCCCTCTCTATCTCCTATCTTTCCGCGAACGGACGGCTTCAAGGGGTTGTATGTATGTTTGGGGGGTGAATGGCATGATGTTGCTTACCTATCTAACTGGGCATTTTGAACAACGATGGACCCATCAAGCGTATTTGTAAGATGCATGTCAATCCAGTCCCCGTAACCCATGGTGGCAGGATATGAAAGGGATACTAATAAAAGCAGTTCTTGGTTGTGTGTACGTCGGTGGTTCGCGAAGCGGGCTGTAGAATCATCAAAGCTTGTGAATGACCGGAGTGATATGAGAAACAATCCGATATCATTGAGCCATTTTTACACTTGGACTTGAAAGAATACACATTTTTCCAACCATGGACAGCGTATACACCAAGGAATGTCAGAATCGCGTCAGTGAACAACTCAATCCAACGAACTTACCAGAACAATATGCTTCTGAGCTTCCGCTAGCCTCCGTGGACTAAATAAATACCTATTTTCTGAGGAAGCCCTGGAGACCTACGAACCTTGGACAAAATATCCACCCTGAGTTTAAAAAACTTACCTTTTCATATCGTATTCGTCATTGAGAACCATGTCTGAAGAATATGGTTAAGTTTCTCAGAATGTCGGGTGTTGAACACCCTTCGATGCGATGCGAGAACAACCCCTTCGCTGACCACTGGTCAACTGTGCTTGTTAGGTACTAAATATGCATCATTGCGATATGGCATTGTGCGCATTCCACTTTTCGATTTTTTTACGCTGTTCGAAGATAACCTGATGAGAGAGAAACATTTTTGTCAGAAGTTACATGACCTTTCACCAGGAATTGAACCTTTATGTCATCCCTATCCGGCTGTCGTGTTATCAGTCCCCTTCATTCACAGCGAACAGTTATACGGATATATGCACTGAAGGTAAGCAGCGTGATGATTGCATGGTCTCTACAATCCCTCAGACACTGACCTGTCTGAACAGATCGACAGTTCTCTGTATGCAGTTCAGTTCCGTCTATCAGATCAATTAGGACCTCAACAGAGTAACCGATACCCTGTACCATTAATTACTGAGGTCAGAAGAATATCATGATATTGGTGAAGAGGAATCATTTGGTACGAATTTGAAAAACCAGCAGTTCGAACGACTCACGCTCCATTCATATGCCCTGGGTGCTAATTTTAAAGTAGATACATGAATTTTCGATGTGGTTGGTATTCACATTAAAATCTTCGAAGTCAACCTGGATCATTAGGATTCCACGAATAAGCACCTCTGGTGAGCGGTGATTGCGCGGCCTGCAAAAGAGATACGACTTCCTCAATCGGACCACAGCAGCAAGTAGAACTGTGCTCTCAGACAGCAACAAATACCTGTCGATAGTGAGTCAAAACCAGAAAACGACCAATCGTTTCACCAAAAGGTGTATCAAAATTGCACTCTGACGTGTTCCTCCCAGGCTTACTGGATCCATTCTCTGCCTTGTTACACTGATATTCTAATCTCCCGGTGTAATGTCGTCGCAGGTCTCTCAACCGCCTGGCGAGAAAGGATGACAGCCGATAATATTTGTTGCTTTCATTCTAACCCACAGGATTGCTTGTGGTATTTTAGAAGATCTGTTAGCAAGCTGTGATGGAAACAGACAGAGAGGTGGCGATACGGTTCGGTAATATTGTCGTCCAACAAGGAGACGTCAGAATCTTGCGAGGGACGGTCGACCAAGTGTTCCTGCTCCATTTTAGAGGGGGAATGAGAAGAAATTTGAACCAAAGCTTAAAAGTTCTCAAATTCGTGGGCCAAGTGAGGGTCATGGGGATGATTTCCAATGGATTTCCGGGATGGATTCTCTGGACAATTGAGCCAAACCAACTGACAAGGTTGCTATGTAATGACAAATGAACACAAAATAACAATCCGAGAAAAGGTCGAAGCTTCGCTCTACGAAACGGGCGTTCCTCTTTCTCCGATTTCGATCGCTATTGCTTCTCCGCGGCACTGTCCCTCGACAATACACTGCGTGCACCGCGGAAGACTTGTATTACGATGCCGTTTACTACCCCTACTGTGCAAAGATTGAACTTCAAACTGTGACATCTATGCAATGTGGGTTTCTTTTACGAGGCAAATGATCAGCGTTGCCAAGTTTGATTCCGTCGAGCAGTCATACTGAGAATGCGGCTAGAACGGGTATTTCTTCACTTCGCTTTGGGAGATTCCTCTTGAGGTTCCGCCTTTCTTGCCTATCGCCCTCTCGTTCCCGGAAAGAAAGCCCACGTTCAGGAGCCCGGGAGAGAATTTTGGGCAGTACGCACAGTACGTGTATCATAAGTGCAATCAGACATATGCGTGGCAACGATAGGATGTCACCTGGAAAATGATGCCTCAAAGATAAAAAGTCAGAACAGAACATTGCAGTCATTCGACAGAGGCTTCAAGGAGAATGAATGTGCAACAGTAGAACATCTTACCCTAGCAACTGTCGTCGCTCACTCCCTGATGGCCATACAGGAGGCAAAATTTGTCTATTCGCCTCCTGATTCATGTTCAGGCCTTCATCTTTGAATAGTGACTGAAAATACGGCGCTGTTTACCACCATGCTAGGAAAAACGTTAATTTTTGGGACGTTAGCCCGATCCTCCAGACATCTATTGAGGCCAGGTGGGGTGGCCCTGTTAAAACGAGGCGTATCCTTTCTTCTGAGACTCTCGGCCGAGTTCTGCCATGCCTTTTAATAGCCGTTTTGTACTCCCTCCAGCCTAGCCATCATGGGAATTCGGATTTCTCCGCTAGGCGTGGCGGATAAATTTAGAGAGAATCGTTGTCTTGTAAAATAGATTGCAAAGGGATACACTGAATACAGGCATGTTGTTATATCTGTAGGTACACATGTCCTGTACATACATCATACATATATCAATAAACATGTAACATAAAAGGGCGGCAACGGACGGCCTGGCGGTCACCGGGTGTATGCATGACTTGCATACAAGACCAAGATCAAACAAAAGCAGAAGAAAAGGCAAAACTTTAGGATACCTGTAAATTTCAGCTTCAATAATAATAATAATAATAATAATAATAATAATAAATATCTTGATTAAAATATCTCAAATCCTTCCATTCCGGTTCTTAGTGTGTTCCATTCGAAGTGGATTACTTGCGCCACTGATAAAATTCCTTCTAGAAGAGTTCTGGAAGGTCTTGGCCCTTGAAATGAAGCGTGGCATTCTATTGCCTGTCCCAGGGAGGTATCCCATGTATTGTATTGGAGGTTGACTTTGCTGGTGGCATGGATATGGGCTTGTTTGGAATTGTCACCAGCAGCCCATAGTTGGTTTAAAATGTCTTTTTGCTTTTCAAGTGGCTGGGTTCAGGGTATTAATATTGGTTATACCTTCATCTTGGGCGGAGGGAGGAACCTTGTATGCAGGACAAATGGAAGTAGTATTATGTAGAATCCTTCTGGAATGAAGGACCGGGAATTCGCATGTATGTATGTATGTAATGTTGCCCATGTATTTTGCTGTCCACCCTTCATACTTTCATATTCATCATCTTCATCTTAGGGTTTGAACATTCCACATGCCCTAGAGGCTGTTCGAGACTGTTCTTCATCTAGACACCTTTTCAATTATCGTACTTTCCTCTCGTTGTATGGGGGTTTTGTTATTGGAACTACGGAACGCAACAAGAAACAAGAGGAGCACCTAGCCATGACAGATGAATAGTATCCTATTGGTAATCTATGACAGCGCCGATGAAAATATTGCCTGGATGAAGAAAGATAACGGTCCTCACCGAAGTCAAAAATGTCTGACCAAGTTTGAGCTTCCCCTTCCCTAAGGAGGCCCAACTGTGCGACTCTATTTCCTTAAATTTTGGATTTCGTATATGTTTCATCTTTGGCGACGGACGACGGGTTTTTGCCTGAAGGTAATGTTTGAAGGGGGGCACAGCATATGTCACCTCTGTCCAGGGTTTTTTGTTGGCTTTCATGGCCTGCATGCAAGGGTTTTCAATTGAAAGCTGCCCAAAAAATAGAAAGAAAAAATAAAAAAAAATAAAAGTGAATATGTAGTGACATTGGGAAAGGTGCACGAAATGTAAAACATCAAGGCATCTCCGCATATTTGTAATATTTGGTCTCATTCAAGAATACCCGCGATACCTCAGTATCCGTAATATCCAGTATTATCCCGACTAATAAATAGCTCCAGCCCCGGAGTATCATCGGCCTCTCGCGTCTGAGACGAGAATTGGAAGAAAAATGTGAGCTGTATAGGCGAAGGGCTCTCTCACATCTATTTGCCGAAGATGTTTTCGCAAACGGAAGAAGCGAGATTAAGGTCCTCGCTGACAATGTCAGACAAACCCGTTCTGGCTCATCAACCAGCATTCAAGCCGTGTGTACATGCTCGTGGAAGGTGATAGACAATGGAAACGGAAAAGATATATATTATCATCCTTGGGTTCATCGTTTGTTCATAGGCACGGGATATGTGGCATCAAACCAGCCCTCTCCAATCACATCCCCGACCCCAACGACTCGAACCAGATTCTGGCCAGAGAAATCCTTTGACGGGGACGTGACATCCTGGAGGCGTTTTATTGGCCCATGCGGTCGTCATCACGTGGCCATCGCCTTTGTGCGCCTTCCAGGATTGAGTTTCGGCGCTAACCACAACAGGGAAAGTATTTATTTTTCGCCGCCGCTGGCGTCATTTATTTGCTTTTGCTGGACGAACCCGTCGACGACGCGGGCGTGCGTTGATCCCTTTTTGATGCGACAGCGGCAGTATTCATCTTCCGATTCTCGCCATTCAACTGTCTGTGCAACAGTGGTACTGACGTCAAACACAAACACACCCAGGCTTCTTAGTACATGGTTTGTGGAGGTGGCTGGTGCGTGTGTCCATGCCAACTCACCCTCAACAGTCCCTCGAACTTGACTGCCTTGAAGGTTTCATGGTTAAAACACTCCAGGGCTGATTGTTGGCCAATAGCAGTGGGACGATCGTCCTGGAGATACTTTTCGCTGAGGTTCATTTTTCTTGCTTGAAGAGAACCAGGCGGCAAGGAAAGGCAAGTGAGTTATCCTATTGTTGCTCCAGCCCGCATGACCATAAAATAAAGTTGCAAATACCGGCCTGAAAACCATTTCTTCCTTTTTATTTATTTATTTTTATTTATTCCTATTTTTTTGGTTTCCGTTTCTAGCCATGCTAGCCATGAAGGAAATTCGCGGGAGTCTTCGAGAAAGATTCATATCTTTTTGAAGTTGTTCCGGGTGATATGGTAGCATCACTTGGGAGTTTTGGAGATTTGCAATTATTATTCGCAAATAGCGGTTATCAGTAACTTGATTCCAGGTTTTTTTTTTTTTTTTTTCTCTTCTCTCCCAGGCTGGAGGCGTAATGGTTAGTGCCAGAGAATCTCCTGGCCATGGCAATTTCTCACACGATCCTGTCGAACCATTTGTTTGGTAGTGGTGTCTTATGCTGTGGGCTATCAAATGACACGGCAAGCGGCGATCAGGAAACAGCATCCTCCCACAGCTCAATATTATCCCATGTCATTGCCATGTATCTGTGAAGTAAACAATTCAGCCCTGCGCCGTTCGGGATGAAATTCGTCCGGGCCGTGAATTATATTCCCGACCCTGCTGCTTTTGATCCTCCGCGGCTGGAGCCACTCACTCCCTCCTGCCGCGCAAACACCACCAACATACGACATCTGTGAAAATGACGATGAGTTTGGAGTAATTAGAGCACTCCCAAAGATTAACTCTCCACATTCAAGAAACAGGGCAACGCAACAGTGTTTCAAATAGCCTTTTTTTTATTACGGCGTTCGTTTGTCGGAACCATGTGGAATACCCTTTTGTGGACACACGTGTGGTCGATGCATCCATGTCTTTCTTCGGGAGCCACCTCGTTGCCAGCTTGCCATGTCTGCCTGAGAAAGAGAACCTGGGTTGGTCTCGGGGTGAGCAGTTGTGGGGTTGCGCCCGGAACCATTATTATTCACCGCCAATCAGTTCAGGCACCACGGTGGGGATCAACATCAACGCCCGTAACGGCCAACTGGAAGGTGATAGAGAGCGCCGGGACCGGGGAGATGTCCAGGCCAGTGACCAAATCCGGCTTCGAGGGGGGATAAGAAGATTCACAACAATGACCAATAATGTATTACGGAGTCGTCCGACGGGTGGACTTGGGGGAAGAGCTTGTGTTTTGAATATGACGAGTAGATGGGCGAGTTAAATTCTGGTTAGCTGCCTTGCGGAGTCAGAGAAAAGTCTGTTTGGTTTTAGGTATTTTTCCGTGATGAAACTAATTTTTAGAGCTTGCTGCTTTGCTTGGCTCTGCTCTCTACTGAGCTAGTTTTAAGCGTAATTTTTAGTTTCTCGAACAAAAGCGAAGTACGGATTCATGGAAGAATCCTAGAGGCCCTACGGTCTGACATACCTCCGGAAGTATAAAAATAATAACTATCGATAGCCTTGGCTGTACACACATGAATCCCTTTTCCCTTGACACAATACAAAAAAAAAAAAAAAAAAGGGAACACTCGCGTACGTAATATCATGGGCTCCTAATGCGGAATGCATTTCCGACCCGTGGAGATATTTTTGTGAGAATCACTTTACGACGCGTAGGTAAGGGACAGGGTGGCGCTGGCGGATTTATTACCCTTTGCGTATTGGGGGAGGGGTAAAGAGGTAGGGAACGGGGGTAGGGGGGAAGGGGGTGGGAAGAGGGGGGGGGGGTGGGTGTGTGATGGGTTGCTGTTCCGTATGGTAAGCATCTGTGGTGGTATTATAGTTACAGGGTTACAAGGGCACAGACACTCAAGAAAAGAACAACCTAAGAAGCTGGACAGAATGAAAATGGAAGCAGTTAAGGTGGGGCCCCAGGGCCCCACTTGGTTGCAGATGTGCTCGAACTAATTGTGGATCTTTGTGTTGTTACTAAGGCTTCGAACCCGTAGGTTATGATGGGCGAACACAAGTTATTTTGGAATTTTTTTTTTTTTTATTTTTTATTTTTTATTTTTTTTTTCCCCTTCTTTTCTTTTTCTTTTGGTATTTGTGTCTGGTCATATCCTCGTTCTGTGATGATCTTTCACATTGGGCACATCCACATTGCAGAGATGAGATCACTTTGTCCAAAGTATCAAATTATATATGTGGAATCCATGTTGGCTACTTTGCTCCTCCTGGCAGCTTGCAGGAATGTTCCTAGTTTTGCTCGCTATTTACATATATATGTTTGTCCCATCGGTGTGTCTGTTTTCATTTTCAGCCTAACAACAATAACCCGGCCTATGGAATGACTTATTGCTACATGCTAGGGATGTGTGTCTTGCTGTGATTCGCTCTTTAAGCTTCCATTTTTAAAGTCACTCCAGAGTACCTTGTAGTTAAAAACTATAATAATAACCTAAGGTTCCTTTAGCCGTGTGATTTGCCTTATAGGGAGGATTAGTTCTGGAATTCCGACTTTTTCGCCACACGGAATATCTGAGCAACAGGCCTTACCGGGGGGCACTTCCACATATGTTAGCTTTTGTCGTTGGATGACGACTGGGGTTCAGGGCATTCAGGCCTGCATGGAATTTTCCAGTTGTTTCAATAGGGAACTTATGATGATCATAAGTTATCCATGGACTGAAAGGTTGTTTGCCTGGAGGCCTGTAAGGGACTGACATTATTGGGCTCCTCCAAGGGCTGGTACCAGATCAACCATATTAATACTCGGTTCAAACAGCCTAACCAGATCTGCGACTGACTGTACCATACATACACTGGGAGTGGGTATGACCATCCCGTAATATTCTAGAACAAATTCATTACCATGACCCCTGTAATACCAGGTATAGGTTTCCAAACCAGCAAAGTCAGCCACCCAACCAGGGCGTGCCAACCCAGGGTAGGCTTGAAGGTAGCCCACGGCAGCCCACGGCAGCCCACGGTCGCCCACGGTAGCCCAGCCAGTCCAGCCAGTTCGGGGCTCTCCAGGCATGGTTCCCCCCCTCCACCCGCCAATCGACGATGAGTGAGCGCTGCGGGACTTCACGCTCTCTCTTATCCTCAACCTTCAACCTACAACCTTCAGCCTACAACCTACTACCTACGACCTAACCACATCTCTTCCTCTCTCCCTCTCTTCCTCTTCTACTTCTCCTCTCTCCGTGATCCGTTATATGCCTCTCCTACCTCATTCTCTCTTCTCAATTTCTGACTGTCTTATCTTAATCGTCATCATCATCATCATCATCATCATCATCATCATCATCATCACCACCATCACCACCATCGTCGTCGACGTCGTGATCTCACCTTCTTCACCTCTATAAAATCCTGCTTCTCTATCGTTGAAATCGCTGTGGATATCCTAAATCCCCACCTAATTTCCTCATCCTTGACGTAGAACAAAACCCCACTAACAACCCGTCTTTATTATATTCGTCATATCATTTCTGCCCTTCACGAAAATAATTTGCCTCCTGTCGTTCAGCCTGGAAATATTTATACTTTTGGTCGGCGCAACCTGTTGCGTTCTTGAGCGTTTCGTTGGTTTAACCATAACTAACCGACCTTTAAGCCACATTACTGTTGAGACGTCCGACGGAAGTAATTATCTAGAGTGCGTGGGCAGGAATTCCAGACACTTAAAAAACTGTGCTTTTATATTGCAGAGACGAGTGATTTGTTTCGAACTAAGCGCATTTTGCGGTCGTCACACCGAGAACATACATATACTCTGTTTTGACATTCCTGAGCTCCACAATCCTCTCACCCTTTGGATTTCGTCAGTGCAGCCTTATTTTTAGCCTGAATCGAGGTTTCCCATTCCCGTCTACCACGCTGAAGTGCGATCGCTGATACTACTGAGCAAGCAATCTATACACGCGAGGGTTGTGGCGACTGTTAAAAGGCGGTTGTCGGGCGGCGGTCGAGGAGGAACGAACCGAATCCCAAGAATACAAAATCTAGAAAAAAAAGGAAGAAGTCTCTTGAAGAGGAAAGGCCAGGATCCAGTTCCCTGAGATTAAGAGACAGAGGTGGGGTCGGTCGTCCTCTGGGCGCAATGATTGCGGGTACATCCCGATATACTTCACTGTTGTCCTGGAACTTCACACCCGATTCTACACCTCGACAATCCCCTGAGCCCTCGGACTGTGATCAGACGAGGAGCACGCTATGGAAGGTTGGCAGCCCTCTTCGAGGCCTCTCAGTCTAGCTATCCCGAATTTCGCTCCTCGACCCACGCTAGATGATGTACTGTCCAACACATCATCACCACCTTACACACTGTCAGCATTCATGGCCTTCCTTTCTCAAAACCACTGCCTAGAAACCCTCGAATTTACTATGGAGGCAAATAGATACCGGGATAGCTATTACGCCGATCCAACCAAAACACAACATCTGTGTATGCTCTTTCAGAGGATATTGAAGGCGTACATCGTTCCCGCAGCACCCCGTGAGATCAATGTATCAAGCGAAGTCCGCGACGATCTCTTAAGCCATTCAAACTCACCCACTCCGCCTCCACCAGAAACATTACGCCCCGCTGTCAACAGAATGCGAGATCTAATGGAAGAATCAATATTCATTCCATTCCTCAACAGCCAAAGCCCGCCCTCAATGCCCGATTCACACTACGACGAAATGGCAGCTCATGATGATAGCCAAATGGGACTCCACGCCTCCATGCGCCGGCAGCTATCCCCACAGCCATCTTGTTTGTCACCGCGTTCACCAGCAACAGGGCTTGCTCTACAGCAGCTCAAAATATCAGGAGGGATGGGCAGATCCGGGTCTCGAAGTTCGGGCTATGCCCTCTCCCCACTGAGCGGCGACTCAGGTTCCGCCAATCTCACAGACGATTCTGGAAGTATGACATCCAGTCTTGGTGCCGGTGAGCCAATGACACCACCCACCACGCCACCATCAAGTGATGTACCCTTACATTTTGGTCCCTCAGGCCACAATCCCAAATTCAGACCGGCAGATAACGCTTGGAAGAAGATGGGCTTGAAGCTCGGTTGGAAGAAGAGGGCTGGAGGACCTGGTTCGAAAGATGGGCGGTTTCCTGCCACGGAAGAGGAATGATGCTTAGGGGTCTTTTTGGCCCCCATTCCCATATTGATTGATATAAATCCCCCCCCCTTCCCTTTTCTTTTTGCAGTGTAGCGTTGTTACCATGTGAGCCTGTATATGAAGCATCTCAACCATGATCTCCCTCACCGCAATAACCACACCCACAACCTCACTGTTCTTCTCTCTTTTCATTTTCTTGTTTTTCTCACTTAGTTGCATGCTCTTGACAATGCTTTCTCTTCTCCTCTCTCTTTGGTCTAGCTTCTTTCTTTTTGTCTTGCATGTATCGGACGGTTTAGCATGCATTTCTGTTAATATCTGGTGGATTGCATTTTTTTCTATGCCCCTTATATTAGTATGTTTTGTCGTTGATTTTGTTGTTAGGGCATGTATACCCATTACGTGCGTTTTCCATTAGCATGCGACAGTTTATTTTGTTTCGAAACCTCTTGCCCCCAAAAAGGATCTGCGTCTCAAATTCTTCTCTCTCTATCCCTGTTTCTTTTCTTTTGGGTGGGTTTTGTCTAATTGCTTTGCCTACCGTTGGACTTTTACGAAATGTTTGGATGTTTTTTATTGTTGTCTGCTTGCGGCATCTGGGCATGCCAGTACTCATGAGATTTAGAATAGATGATTATTTCCCACATACCCTTCCCCATAACATTTCATTTTAATTTATCAAGATCACCCTCCTGAACTTACCGGTATTGCAGCTACTTTCCACCTCCTGTATTTCATCATGAACTACCGACCATTATCCTAGGGGGCATTAACTACTACGGTAGTTACGATTACCACGAAAACATAAAAAGAGCTCAGTGTTTCTACATCCTTTTTTTGTCTTGCCATCTCATCTGACAAAGTCAAAGAATTGAAAAAGCTCAGGGAGAATAAGAATGTAATTTATTAATCATTTTTAAAGCAATTTGCGATACTTCTACTTTCTTTGTCCTCTCCGCCCCCTTCCCCCTTCCGGGGCTGAATTGTATTTATCAACTTTTAACAACGTGGTGGCTGAAAGTTAGGGAAGATGCTTCAGCCTCCTTTCCACCGTTCCGCCCCTTGTACTCTTGTTTCTTCTTTATCAGCCCACGCAAACGTCCATTATTCCAAGGTTGGTTGACTGGTGTTTGCAAGACCGCAAAAAGCATAGGAGGGAACCAGGGAAGCAACTGGGCATAATTTTGCAAGTAAGCGGGGGGGTTTATCAGTTGCAACGTAAGTTATGGAATAGTCGGTGGTACCCACAAACCTTCCCTATCTCCATATATAACTGTAGCCTATTCCCCCCATCTTATCTCCCTACTATTTTTCTCCCCATTGCTTATAAAACTCAATTAAGCCCCCAATACACATCGCCAATCAAACCACCTCAGATATGTGGCGTATCAGATATAACCTTCCTTCCCGTAAGCTATAAATAATAAAAGACTTTTTTTTTTTTTTTTTTTTTTTTTTTTTTTTTTTTTGGTTTTCTTTAGCTTGGTTCTTCCCCTCAAAACCCCACCGCTACCCGCTTTGAGTTCTGCTGCCGCTGTACGGTAGTTACGTATGTATCTACAGTACATGTATTTTACGTCAAGTTCACAACTTTCTCCGGCGCGACTGGCTGCATGCGAACCGGAATGTAGGGCATATAGCCTGCTCCCCCCCTGCCGCGAGGATACGAAGACGGCGTCCCTGACGCGTTTTGTGTTGCCATGTTGTCAGTGGGTTTGGGGGGAAAAGGGCAGGCATTAGTAAATGCTGCATCTGCTACGTACATACAAAATCGCCCCACTCTTGCGGGGGTAAATTGGGGGTGGGCGGAGAGCGGGAGGGGTGCATGCCTTCTTCGCAAACTGGAGATTTGAGGGTGTGTATTGGTCTCAATGTATTCAAAAACCCGGGTGTTCCATGCACCCACACAAGCTATTCTCGAACGGGCCCATGGAGGAGTAAACATCAATCCCCAAACGGAGCTTAAATCATTTGAAACGGTAGCACATTGAAGCCTGGTTTTTGTTTGGTGGGTGAGAGGGTTTTGGGAATGTCATTTTCTATTTGACTCTTAGAGCGCCGTTTATATGGATTCTTCACTTAGATCAGTTGCATGTGATTCATTATAGTGGTTGGAGTTGGCCGTTTCAATGCTCTTTACATCTCAAGTTAGGAGGCTATAAGAAGGGTGTTTCCTCAGAAAGCTCACTACCGAAGAACCATGCGGCATGCCTTATTCTTAACACGAAGATCTTGATAGAGTGTAGGACATGAATCCAATGGCTTGTTAAAATATTGCACCTATAGTGGTATTATTATGGAAAATTATTATTTGCTGTTCTGTTTAGAGGGTCAGAAGGTAGCCTGCCTAAAGTCATACTTCAAAGATTGTTAGAACATTTTCTTATATATTCAACCCCACTCTGTGAAATGTTGCCAGTTCGTTTCTTTAAATTCCGGGATTTGATGTTGGCAAACTGGACTGTGGTTAGGCTGCAGGTCTTCAGGGGCGGAGGTCTCTAGTGGCATCTTCCACATAGTTGAGCCACGGGAACGAGATCTATCATGGTTCCATTGAATCACGTCCCTTCGGCGGGTGGGATGGATGCCGCCGCCCCATGCACATATTTATCCACGCATTGATACCGAGGCGCGTATGGGCGCATGACATGAAAAAGATGAAAACAATAGGCGTGCTCGTCGGTTTGCCACGAACCCAGAACTGCGACGAGCCCAGAGAACACCCATCTATGGCATTGGCCACCGAAATATCTCATCCTACAACCTCAAGCCTCCTACCTGCGTTCGTTTCTAGAGACGGCGAGTCAATATCCCACCCGGCATCTTTCAAGCGTGATATCTGGCCAGCGAAATTCATAGAATGTGTCTGCAGCGTGGATTCAAGAATCGAGAGCATCGTGTCCGGATTTGAAACGTCAGCAGCGGTGTCCTTGTAATTTTTCTTGCGGTTTTGACGTTCCAGTTTCACCTCTCCCTTCGTAATTGGGCTATTGTTGTTCTTTTCAGCATCTTCCGTTGTCTTCATGAGGTGCTTCGCAACCAGAAGCGCATGGCTCCATGCTTTTAGTTGCGAAACAGGTTTCACATTATTCTTCAGGACAATTGTTCCCTTTTTACTAACAGGGTTGAACCATAAAATATATTCCTCTTTCTCAAAGAGACGTAACAGCCTGGGAATATCAATTGGGATGTCACGGATGGAATTTGCTCGACAACTTACGTTCGAGCTACGGAGTAACTCTTGAAACGCAATTCCTATTCGACAGAATCCCAATGTCGTGGAGGAAGCTTTCCAGCGGAGAATTCCATCACGCTCAAAAATCCTTTCACATTTGGATGTTTGTTTTGGGGTTAGAGCACGGCCTTCTTCGAAGAGCGTTGAAAAGACGATATTAGCTCGTTGACGGTTTAGAGTGGTCATGTTGACTGCACGCACTGCAGCGTAGTTTGTTGAGAGGTGGATTAGAAGGAGAAATATGAGGGTTAACCCTGTCGTTAAAGGGGTGGAGATGTGTGAAACAACGAGACTTCCGCACTGTGATTCAATTAGTTAGAATGATGTATGGCACGCTAGGAAGAAGACAGCTCTTTTCTTTTATTTACTTACCAGCATTCCCAAAAGCGAAATTACGGTTTCCTGACTTGAATCTTTCTAAAATACTTTCGTTATTATGCGTCTTATGAAAACTAGATTGATACCCCCTCATCACTAGGATTCCAAGAGGGTAAACAAGCCATAAGACACTAACAGCATTCAACTCCCCCAGATTACCCCATTTCGCAAAATGACTGCTCAGGCTTGCCTTCGAGCTTCCCGCAGCCACTCCACACAAAGCCCTTAAGATACTGGAGAAAGTCAAAAGTACAACTCTCAGGTGTTTCGGAAATGCCGGGGATAGACACTCAACCACCATTGCCGAATCATTGAGGACGTCGGCGGCAAGTCTGTACAACTTGCACTCAGGCTCGAGTGATGTTCCAAGCCGGTGGGCAAACAGAATAGTGGCTATCCTGCCCATGCTTTCTTGAAGGACGCTGTGTAGCAAAGCTACCGTTGGGGATGCGGATGCATCTCCGACTCCTACACCTAATATATAGGATTTAGGTCAGATTTTTATTTATTTATTTACTTTTGCGGCTGATTCATGGACATATTTAGCGTACCTTGTAGCACAGCGCGGGATGCCAGTAGTCCGGCAATTGAGCTTGAGAATGCTTGTAGTGAATCCTAAATAGGCGGGCTGTCAGCTCAAATATCCTCTAGGAATGCTAACAGCGGTGCACGTACATATATTTGATATCTTCAAATATGTGTGCAGAAAACTAGTTAGCTTGGGTCATCCCAGAGAAGATTAACATAGCGAATGTAATAGGGGAATTCGCTCAGTTGGAGGCCCAACAGTATGCACTAAACCTCCTTGGACATTCTGACATACTAGGGCTAGACACAACGTTACCTATACTATTCCTTTGATAATAAAACTTTATATTTGCGGTTATTTTCGAGAGCAAGAAATAACAGACTGTGTCAAGCTCCGGCAAACATTGGGCGAGGTTTGGGTATAGATGCATCGAGAACAGGAAATCACTCACTCCATGTAGTCATCGCTGACGCTATGGGGATAGCCCGCAGGGAGGAAAACGATCAGAAGAGAGGTTAGGTATGAAGGAGACTCCTTTCGTGAAGGCCTCTACAGTTATATAAGTATTATAAGTTAGCAGCTGGTAGTTGCGGCTTTGGCGATGAAGTCCAGTATTCCTCATTGGACCAGGAGGAGAGTCCCATCTTCCTCCTCCTCCCCTCCCCCCGGCCACAAAACCACCACGCAGAAATGGAGTAGATTGAAATAATAACAATAATACATGCGCAAGGACGAGAGAAATGGCTAGCAATATAGAAAACTCATGCGGAAACAAGTAAAGCAGAGAGAAGCAGAAATAAACACGATAGAGACACTATGTAAGGTGTTTGTTGATTGCTAAGGAGGCCGAACTTCGCAAGGAAACAAATAGAAAAACAAGCTTGCAACCTAGGAAGAGAACATACGACAACATCAACTCTGCGCCTCTGACGGTGAGAAGCAGCACCTTCAGGAGAATCCCGGATACGAGGTTGTAGGGATTCCGTCGTCGCCGAGTAGATGTATGTTGCGGTTGGTTCACCTATTTCATTGGTTTCTCTGATGGTTATTGCATCGTTGGAAGGCATTGTCGTTTGCTCTGCCTAATAATTAGCTCGATGGTACGTTCGGTGTAATATCTCCATCCATAAATCTGTTGTTGAGTATCGATTTCGTCCTCTATTTAAGCCAATAGTTGTTGAGGAGATGTTGAGGTCGTGGGGTTGGGAGATCATTTGCTATTGTTGTTGTTCCAGTCACGGTTTTGACTAGCCAACTAATTGAGTTGTGGAAATTACATATCTAGGAAACCCGTTCTGGATTCCAAACCGTCCTCAACTGATTTCCTCCTGTCAATCCAATGGCCACAGACCCACAAGCCCAAATAGCAAACCACCTCCTCACGACCAAATCCCTTCCTGTTTCCCGCACCTGGCTCACCCAATTCCTCTCCTCGCAGCGTGTAGCAACGACTCCCCTTTCCACTCTCACGCAAACCGCCTTATTCCGATTGCTAGCTTCCGATTTTACAACATCCCTCTCTGCAACAAACCCCTCACACATTCTCCCGGAGGACATTTCAGACCCCGCTATAAAAGAACGGCACGTTTCCGGGCCGGTCCCGTTGCAAGTACTTGATATAGAGGATATAGGGAGCAGTCTATGGAGCCAAGTCGAAGCAATTGAGAAAATTGAGCGGGGAGAAGAAACGCGTGGAAGAGAAATAATACACACTGTAACGCGCGACGAGACTGGGGAGGTTGAGGCTGTTAATAATAACACTAGTAACGCCTCTACGAATGCAGCTGGAGCAAATAGCAATGCACCAGGAGCACAGAATACATCATTCTCTAATTCTGCTAAGGGTGGGACACATCAGTTAGTGCTCCAGGATGTGAAAGGAACAAAGGTGGTCGCAATCGAATTGAAACCTGTTGAAGATGTTGGGATTACAAAAATGCCAATTGGTGCAAAGATGGTAGTAACCAATGCAACAGTTGCGAGGGGGATGTTGTTGCTTGAGCCAGACTGTGTTGATGTGCTCGGGGGGAAGATTGAGGCATTGAATAGGCAGTGGACACAGGAGAGGAAAAATAGGCTGTTGAGTAGGTTGGAAGACCAGGCTGCTATAACAGCTTCATGAACTTTTATCAAAACATTTTCACCTATTCTCCTTCATATATTTTCAAATCACTAACCATCAGTAAAATCAATTTTGGCCAATTATGACTCTGATAAAGTGGAAAAGTTCTTTCCAATCATCTGATTCCCAAGGAGCTATCGTTATGACTCTTAACTACTGCATCTTGATGGCCAGAATGGATGTAGTATCAGCTCCGATGCATTAAATGTTCCCTTGGGAAGTTATAATTTGGAGTGCAGTTTGTAATGCCATTTCAGCTGGGCATGGCTCAGAAGACACTTTGGACGTGCAGCTCATCTCTGTAGCAAGTACAACGCAGGCATTATGAACATGTTAGCTTCTTGACACTGTCTCAGCGCTTTTGATGTATCAGACTGCTTGGCAAATCCAAGAGAGACAATTCCTGTGAGGAGTTTTAATGACTTTCACCCGATCGTGGATGTCAACAATATCACCTTATTCACATCTCCTGCAAGTCAGATTCAACTGCTTCAAATTGCATTCTCATCAGCATTCAATAAAGTCATGACATCCAAAAGAGTAACTTCGTCAACATGTGTAGGGGTGCTTTGCAATACAATACAAAATGTTGCACCTGAGCTAGCTGCGTCCCTTTCCTCTTCCCCCCCATTTAGCCCACAAGACTTGTTTGTATCAAGTAGACAATACTACGTCGGGTGAGGTCTTCACTTCCTGCAAAGCATTATGAAACATATCAATTGCCCTGTCCATGTCTTTTGAGATAAAAGTAAGCCAGTCCGGCTTGTCAGATAAGCTTAGAGTTAAAAACTCTTCTAAGCCACTCTCAGATGTTATAAGCTTAGAGCAGTCTTGTGCACTTTCCGCAGCACCTCAGTCACATCTGCCTTTGCCTGAGCAAAGCGTGATAGTGATGATGTCGTCTCTGATGATTCATAACTCTGTTTCCAATAGCAGTGCACACCATTTTCAAGGCTCGAATCAGCAGCGGTAGAGCTTCTCATTCTCTCAGCCAAACATGGGCTGGAAAGTGCTGAAATGGGAGGTTGGAGGGTGATTTGCTTTTCCTTTATGCAGCGGTGATTTGCTAGGGCTGCAGATCGCACATGATGATTGGTGGCAGGAAAGACTATCTACCTTTTTTTTTTTCTTTTTCCTTTTGGGATATGCAAGCTCTAGAATTGAACTACGAAAAGAGCACGGGGCTCTGCCCCTTTGACCGCTATTGAGGGGGGAGGAGAATACTTTATGGAAACTGGAGCGATTGTGATTGAGTACTGCGGAGAGTGTATCGAAAGCCCTATCTGACACATTGTGAGATTGTTTGAAGAAAGAAAAGCCTGGCCAAGCAAAATCAATACCCATAGCGAGGTTGCAAATAACATCAGCAGAACTGTAACTTTTAACAAACAAGCCAACAACGCCCAACAGCAGATAATAGCGTGACAACAGTAGTACCAAGAAGACCTGAATCATATATGTCTGCGCATCCCATAACCCATGATAACTTTGGAGAGACGAACCCATAATAACCCTGAGATAGGAAATTGGAGATACAACAGCGGCGGCGACTTGAAGAGAATGAGAAGAGAGGGGTAAGGACGGGCACGGCGATGTCGACGGCACAACCGACTGCCCAACGCCGAGGATGTCTAGCCTACTGGGATGACTCTCGTCATTTCCTAGCAGCCCTGGCCCTGTAGAAGCCATAAGAACCACCACGGACGTCCTAGTAGAATTCATATACGGGGAAGAGTATCATCACGACTGCCCTTCCCATATATTCATGCGAACAAGCTGGCTCCGCCCGTCTCGACGGCATCGATCTCCTCTTGCGTCCAGGTCATGCGGCGGAATCTCTCCGGCAGCTCGTTTCGGTCGAAATATTCGCCCTTCCTGGGTGCGACGGTCCCGAGAGATGCGCCCGTCTGGCCTCCGATGGCACCTCCGTATATTCCGTTGGATTGCGGGGTGTAGTTCAGCGGACCGTGCTGTTGTGCCTTGGCTCTGTAGGAGGCGAATGACTCGGGGAGAGAGGAGGAAGGGGAGGCGGGGTGGACGCGGGGGGAATGGTCAACGGACTCTGGAAGAGAATGCACGGGTTAGTCAAGGGATGTGGCAGATGGCTTCTTAGGGAGTCTCCTCTCTCTCCCTCCTGTCCTTGGGAGGGGCACATACTGGGAACAGAGCGTTTTCCAATGAATTTAATCAGTGGAGTTCTAGCGGCGGCGGCTTGCTGCAGAATAGCTGATGCACGCATTGTAATTAATTGAGATTGTGCAGGAGAGGAGTCGTGGGATCGTTGCTTAGGTGCGTTGCTAGGAGAGATGGAAAGTGCTAGCTGCTAGCTGCCGCAGGTATTGACACAAGATGGAATATATACACGACGCCCGTTGACCAACAGTTTCTATTCTCCGTCTCTGCCAGCTGAAGAATTGATCTGTCCTGTGCGGGAGTGGCTGGGTGAGCGGACAGAAGAGGGAGAGTTTTTGGGATGGTTATTATAGTTAATACTGGGAGTGGCATTAACTATGAATTAGCAGAGGCGACTTGTTTATTTAAACTAACTAGTTAGGCCTTTGGGACGTTGTGGCACAGCGCAAGCCGTTGAGATATTTAAGCGTTGCAGCAGCCTTTGGTTAGTATGTAGGCAAGCAGCAAAACGCACAAATCAAGGCGGAGCGTTAATGTTACTTGAAGCTGTGAATGATGAAAATTGCCCATTAGAAGGTTCCAAGGTTTAACGAACGAGTTGCCAGCCAGCAATAATTAATCTGCTTGCCTTCTGCACCGCCGAGCAGCCCAGCTCCAGAACCAAACATTGAGCATTCCTCTTCCTCTAGCTTGCCCCGCCCTGTGTTAGATCCGATGCCAGCTGGGACGGAGAGAGGAAGAATAATAGCACCACCCCTGAGGGCTCTATGCACGTGTCATCGGCAGTCGTTATAACCAGTGAGTGGTTGCCAGCACGAAATGTGGCCTGACAATTTAATAATAATAATAATAATAATAATAATAATAATAATAATAATAATAATAATAATAATAAAATACCCCGTTATCATCGTCCATACGGGGTTCCTGCCACCCCGCGGCCGTTAGACCCCATATCGGTGGTAAATCGAATCACTCGATGCTATTATTGCGCATTATTGTGTGTATTACCGATGTGGCCATTTTCAAGTTACAAACCACGCCATCGTAGGCTTTCTGACAAATCCCCCGTTCCCGCCTCCCTCGTGGCTTTGGCATCCGAAAACACCCGGACCGATCCCATGGCTTGACAGCTTTTCTCCAGGTGGCTGCGCCTGTTTCCGCTTGTTTCCGCTAATTATATCTCTCTTCCTTCCTGCATCCCTCTCCTTGCCCAGGAACACAACGAGCCGCCGCAGCCGATCCATCCCTTGAATCACGGGACTGCCGTTTCATGTGATTTCGGGAAACATGTTTATAGAAACAAATGGGGCAGCTTTGTAGGCTGTAGCATAGTTATCGTGTGACGGCTGGGACGCGATTGCACACATGGCGCGGTGAGTGCGTTCCCACGAAGCCGCAGATGAGAACGCACCGGGGATATAATCTTAGCCGACTATACCCTTGTGAAATATTCCGCCGCTATCCTTGCGGAACACCAAGGCGTGTCGGGCCTTTTTCAACTCGGAAGCTTTTTTTTTATTATTTTTGCCCAGTGATTAGTTTTAAGGTTTCCGCAATTGACACTGATATTCCTGACATTGTTAAAGGGGAGCCCGGTGTGTTGCCGTAACTATTAAGCGACGATAAACAATTGCGGAAAAGTCAACAGTGGAATTACTACTAAAAGGATCTTATCCAAAAATATGCCCTCATGATGAATGGCCAGAGAGCGGTGGAATATATATGACACCACTGTAATCATATAGAGACATTTTCAAATCAACCGGGTTGGTCATTCCGCTCATAGCGAAGAGATCGCTGTCCCTGAGTCATTAGGAAATCGACCTGACCGGTGAGGAGGACAGCCATTTCTGGTCACGTGGCTTGGATATTCGAACTTCACCTAAAGCTTCGATATATCTATACAATCAGCAGTAATATCATTTGACATTGGAATTCGGAAACGTCAATAGCCTGGGCTTTTCTTTTTATCGAGTCTATTTTTTTTTTACTATCATCCATTGATTTTTTTTTTTTTTTCCTGTGCTGTCCGATAACTACTCTACATCGGGTGCCCGTCTTCAATCTGCTTGCTTCATGAGAACACGAGACAATCTGCGACCGTGTTCATAAATCATCCTCCCTGCAAAATATCTAGCTTCCACACTTCCAGAAAGAAAACGTCTGTTTTTTGTTCTATCGGACTAAAAAGCCCTGACAGTCTCTCTAAGCATCCACATATTATTGGATGATCTCTATGAAAATACATACAATAAACTTCAGAACAAGACAGTGCAGTTGTTCTACCGATAACATATGCATGAACTCCTGCTCTTCGCTTCCGTGCCAGCGAAGCAACATCATGATTTGCTGCAACAGCTCTCCGGTCTTACTGCCATGCAGCCGACCCGCACTTTCGAGCGACATCTGATTTTCAAAGCCTACAGGAAACCGGGCTTTATAAAAACGCGCCCAGGTGGTAGCCAGGATGTGCAAGCTCCCGAGGTCCAGAGGCTCAATAAGCTTCTGAATGGAGGATTGTATTATACGCAGGTTGTGGGCAATGTCCGGGAAAGGGACTTTGGCTCCGTACCTCCTCCTTCCTCTGTGTCGGCATCTGCGTCTGCTTCACAGCCAAGAGCAGATGATAGTGCTCAGGCGCAAGAAGCATCGTCACTGATGAACGGAACTGCTCCCGCTACCGTAGAGGGCGGATATGTCGCGGCGGACCAGCAGTCATGGAGATTGGAATTTAAGGATACGCCGGAGGCTGGGCAACGACCTGCAGTTACTTCGCGGTTTGTGGGGAGTGCGAAACTCCCTTCTGGAAATATACTTGCTGAGATGAAAGCTTGGGGGTTTGAGTAAGTTTTTTATTTTTCCACGAAGCCCTAGACATGCACGTTACATTCAGTTTTGAGCTAGGCACTAAGTTGTTATTCCTATGTAGCTTCGTCTCTGAATATGTTCTTGAAGGCCATACATTTATCCTTGATGACACGGTATTGCTGGTGCACCGGGTGCTCACCTTCCCACCCGGCAATGCTGGGTGTGGCGGTGGTGGCAGCGAAGCAACATCAACGCCAACCAGTTATCTACCCCCTTTGGATAAGATGGTACCATTGGACTCTAGCGGCGCGTATGTTTTGCAAGCTTCTATTACGGTTAAAGAGAGCGGCAACCCGGACATGCTGAAGACTAACTCGCAGCGACTTCTGGGATTGAAAGAGCGTTTGAAGTTTGTTGTGAAGCTGGAGCCTGCGGATAGGCTTTCTCTTGATACGAGGGTGAAGTGAAATGCCAGGTTAAATAAACTTCAGTGTAATAATAATATAGCAAACATGAGCGGATATGAGCTGAGATGTCGTCAATCGAAGTGGTTGATATCAATGTGATCTGACTGGTAGAATGGTTGCCACGAATAAAACTTAAGATTGACAACCATACAAAATGCATGCCCCAAACTTATATTCGATATGGATTTAGATATCCCTCACTGGACAGCTCTTTATATGCCCTGTTTCAACCTTACATGCAGGCATCAAGATAAACCTAGAAATCAATTTAAGCCACGTGACTTGGCGACCCAATCAACGCGTACTTGCGATTTCAACTGAGAGAGAGTGTACCTATCACTTAGTTGGTATTGAGATCCTAGTATCCTACCCATCGTCAAGCTCAAGACAGTTATATATATGGCTTCGTCGCCCCTCACAGTCCTTCCAGTTGCCCGTGGCACATTTTCATCTACCCAGCTTAATGCTGGCCCGGTTTTCCCTTACATACGATCAATCATGACAGGCACTAAGAGAATAATACCGGATGGAGCTATCTCCCCTCCCCCGTCGAAACGCACAGCTACAGGAGCGGTGACCAGTGAGTGTATTCCTAAATATATTGTCCGGCCTCAATAACGATCAGAAGCAGCTAACAGATGGTCTACTTGTAGACAACAGGACTCTATCCGACTTTTTCACGCCCTTGTCCCAAAAGAAGCCTGATATAACCACTTGGAGGATAGTCAACAATAGCTGTGTAGTGGGAAAATACCACTCGGAACAGGCTGCAGAAGCTGTCAAATCCGGATCGAAACGAAGAGTTGCTGCCTTCGATCTTGTATGTTGAAATACAGATGTTGGAAACAGAGTATAGTTAGGATCTAATCCGGATAGGATTCTACCCTGATCGCAACAAAATCTGGCAGACGGTTTGCAACAAATGAGAATGATTGGAAATGGTGGAACCCAAATGTTCCTAAAAAGCTGAAGGAGCTGAATGATGAAGGGTTCGTTGTGGACCTCACTTCTTCCATGCCAATTGCTAGTTGTTCTTTGTTGAGTGTTTCATGTCTGTTTACAGGTACCTGGTCGTCGTTCTGTCGAATCAAAAAGGCATAAGCCTGAAGAAGGACCTTAAAGGTGGTAGGCTGGAGTCGAAGAGCTTGTCAATATTCAAGCAAAAGGTTGCGGCGGTTATGCAAACTTTAAATGTACCATTTGCCGTTTACGCCGCGACGGAAAACGATGAATTCAGAAAGCCGCGCATGGGGATGTGGAGGGAGATGGTCGATGATTACGATCTCGACGTTTGTAATTCCTTAGATCTGAAACATTCTATTTTTGTTGGTGATGCTGCTGGTCGTGAAGGCGACCATTCCTGTGTGGATCGGTCTGGACCCCCTAAACCACTGACCCCTAGCATCGTTTCTAGTGTGCTGATATACCGTACACAGTGATTTTGCATCAAACGTCGGAATCCTTTTCAAGACTCCCGAAGAATTTTTCTTGAACGAAGACCCCAAGCCGATTATAAGACATTTTGATCCCAAGGCCTACATCGTTGGCACATCGGAAGACATACGTAGGCGATTCATTTCTTCCTAATTTCCTAGTGGATTCCAGATTCCTCTGATCTCTATGTCACGTCTTAACCACGCATACTAAAATGTAATCATGCTGCAGATATATCATTTGAGAAGAAAAATGATCCCGAACTTGTCATATTTTGTGGAAGTCCGGGGTCAGGGAAATCGACGTTTTATTGGAGATACCTGGAGCCCCTTGGTTATGAGCGAGTGAATCAAGATATTCTAAAAAGCGTAAGACACTTTGACTCTGTCCTGTTCTTAGAGAGAATTAGAATACCAATATTTGCCTTATATGTACTAACATGAGTTTATTCTGCACTCGAAGCGGTCAAACTGTCTCAAGGCCGCAAGAGAGCATTTAAAAGTGGGAAATTCGGTAGCTGTTGGTACGACACAGGTTTTTGCTCTCCTTTTACTTTGAATTCTTTAATCTCACACTTACTCCTTTCCTTTTCTAGACAATACAAATGCGGATTCGGAAACCCGTGCATATTGGATCGAACTTGCGAAGGAATTTTCAGTTCCTATCCGGTGTATCTATCTAAACACTCCGCTGCAAATCTGCAGGCACAACGATGCTGTGCGTTCAGCCAACCCAAAGATGGTGTGTAATCAAGCCATCCCTAATTATTTACTTCGTCCATATATCGCTCTTTATGGGCGTTGAAAGAGAGAAGCTGGTTCCTAAGTTACTGTTGAACAGGAGTCGCTAAATCCTGAATCCCGCACCGCTCTCCCGGGAATAGCTTTTGGAGATTTCATGCGTCGATTCCGTGAACCCACCCTCTCCGAAGGGTTTCAAGACATTACTCAGGTCGAGTTCAAATTCCAGGGGGAATCTGCTGCCAAGGAGGTTTGGGGGCAGTTCTGGGTTTGATACCGCCACCAAAACTGGCATTTCCTTCACGTTTATGAAGATTGAAAATTGATAACGACTTTTCCGTTTGCATAGCTTTGGCTGGCTTACTTCTTTTATCGTTCCTTGTTTTCGATTGATATATAGATTGGTTTCCGTTCCAGAAGACGAAGAAGATGTCTGTATAGGTAAGCATACGCTAATTTGAGAGAAAACACTCCGATTCATGGAGTAATTTTCATCGCGTCGATGGTTTTCGAAGTTTGCTTTCGATTTTAATGTAAACCGGTTATTTTATAGAAAGTCGTCGCGCATTTCTTTACAACTCCTATGGTTGAGGAACTTCATCAAGAATCGGGCATTATTAATGCATGTTGAGGCCTTCATATTTATAGAAGATGGGTGAAGAATAGCTGCTCCGTATATAAAAATGCTACATATCCTTCTGCCTGAAGATCTACACTACGAGTCAACGGCTAAGCTTCTGATACAACACGCTTAACGAAAACCCCTGCCATCTTCGCAATTTTTATCCTACGCTTGTCCAGTGACTGTTCGAAAAAGTCAAGCTAAGAATGAGTTATGCTCGACTAATAAGGCCAAGCCCCGCCAAGTGGCTCAGGGGTATTGTTTGATAGGCGCGATATTGAACGGCACGGCTGTCTATTTGAAGCGATATAAAACGGACATGATCCTCCAGAATGAAATCTGTGCACATTCTGCAGCACAATGAGCTCTATCTCATGTTTCTCGGAGGGCCCTGGACTTGTAGTCATGTTCCCCTCTTACGCATCTCTCTCCAACGAGCCGATCCGCGACGTGGATCTGACAAGTTCGCTGTATACCAATATGGACACACATATCCCATCCCACGAAGGATGGTAACGCTGCCTACGGGGATCAAGTAAAGAATATTGAAAACAGACATAGTTGGTATTCTAGGTTCGTACTCGACTAGTGATTCTGGGAACCCAGTGACTGACTGTATTCTGAGCCTCCTGGCTCTTGCAGCGACAGTTGCAGTTCTCGCAGCTTATTTCAACGTGGAAAATGCCAGAATTACCCAATACATCATTGTATGTATAAAACTCAGAAATCAACGGCGGATTTGACATTCGAAAAATGATTGACGAACGTTCATGTTCAACGCTGATATTTCCGTCTCGCGTCAAGGCCTCGGTTCTGTTCGCCGTTGGAACCTCTATCACTCAGCTGAAGTGGCTGTGGTTAAAAGGTACGAGACGCTTGCAAGATTTACAGCTTTTGATGATGCTGGTCGAGGCCCTTTGGGTCTCTTCATTTGGTCTTTTACCTTCGTGGAGGGTGAGCCTATATGTCAGTGACGCTCTCGACTAACAAACTTGATATGAGACAGTCTAACATATCCACCTAGACATCTTGCATCCCTTGGTGCTTGGGTGGTTATTTTCCGTATGGTGTTGGAGCAACTGGTTGTGTACCAAAAGAGATCGTATATAAGAGTCGGCTCAGGCCTCGGTTTCACGTATTAACAATGTGACATATGCTACCCAAAGTAAGGAAACAGTGTTCTCAAACCCATCATCTCTCAGCTTAATGCTTATGGCATTTCCCCATCCAGGGATGGAAGACCTTTCAATGGGGTCTGTTTTGCAGCAAGGTCTTATGAACGCCATTTTCAATAGAGACGCTGCTCCTAAACTCAAACCATCTTGCCCTACGGGGAACTGCACTTGGCGCCACCCCTGCATTCTCTCGGGTTTAGCAGCTATTATGTTGATATTGTAGATAAGGTTATATTGGAGGGGGCATGTACTCCCAGGAGATTTTCTAGAAATGGAGAAAACCTGCGCCATTTTGTTTCCGCATGGTTCTTCCTGTCGTCAGTCCCTATGATGGATCTGGAGCAGCCTCTTACGTCTCTTGGCTCCTGAATTACGTACCGGACATAGGCGTCGACTTCTCAGTCGGAGCCCCGAAGATTACGGAACATATGCGGAAAGTGCACAACCCGCTCTTTGCCCTAGGCTGTCTAGAATTAAACTACACTTCACTCACAAACACAAAACCCATCTCTGCAGCTATGGAGTGTATGTTTCCTTGCTGCCTCCAGCGATATGACGTCTCCGTTAAGGACGACGTCCCCGTCTCAAAGGTCGCCACTGTTCAGCAGGCGTCAATGGACAAGCTTTCTGGGTGAAATGTGACGGCCCCTATTCTCACAAGGAAAGCCAAGGAGAAGATGACCATGTTCGTCGTAAACCAGGTAGCCAGTCACAGCGTGTGGCGTGCTCTCAACCTACATATCCTTGGCAACGCAATGACATGGCCTGAATCAACCGAATACTTCAACCGAATACTTCATCCCTTCCAACGATTTCATTGGAATAATGCGAACCGTTCGTGACAAAGCCCATATGATGGAGATTGCTGCCCTCTCACACATTTATTTGTTGACAACAAAACAAAAGGAAAATACGGCTCGGATGTTGGGATTTGAACGTCGAGCGGTATAGCCTTCAAGACGTATATCCATCAGCGTGGGAAGTTGTCGGAAAATAATCCGCACACTCCAAGAATCCCTATACAAATATAGACGGGCAGGACACAAAGAGGAGGAGCGAATTCCTGAAAAGAGAGAGAACGGAATCCATCAACAGCACTGAGGGAATCGAGCGGGAAAACTCACTCGTTCCTACGTCATTTATCAGCCTCGTATTCAACGCGAACCACTCAATCCATGCCAACAACCGACAAGATCAATTTCTTACTCATTTGCGAAGGTTACGTACTGTTTCAACCTAGGCCATGATACAACCTAACAACACCCATTTTACATCGGGCAAGGTCTTTAAACGGGAGAGCTCCCTGAGCAACTGCAAACATATATCCCACACTGATGGCTAAACATGCTACACAACTTATTCTCTACTGATTTCGCGTAAAACCAACTATTTATTTTCCGCAACAAATATTAATTCAAAGAAAGTGTTCAACAGTGGAAACACTATTTTGGATACAACATCTCACATAGACCTAGAACTTCATTCTGTATTGCTCGCCGGTCCAGCTCAAGTCAATTTCCTTAAGTACCCAGAGGTACATTTCAGTACATACAGAGCTCCAGAGGCCCAACTTCAATACACCTTGAAATGTATATAGATAAAACATAAACACAACTACAACATGAGTTGTAGATAGCATACTCATTTTCAAATAAACTTTTCTGATTTTATTGTCTTTTGTAAGGATACTTTCCTCTTCTACATATCGACGATTTTTGTGTATTTTGTCTGTTTCGACACCAGGTACTGATACATCATATATTATCATGTATCCGAACCAACCAACGCGCCCATCACTCTCTGTGTCTACGACTAAAAAACCACCACACATACCATACCCAATTTATAAGTATAAGAATAGCCATATCCCCAGTCTAGCACATCCACTTGTCTCCTCTCCTCCGTCTCCCTCCCCGGCCAATCCCGCCACGAACCATCATCCCTTCCATTCTGCGTCACGGTTATGGGGTTGCCAGGTTCGTAATACTCGTACAGTAGGACACCAAGGAATAATACAAAAGGAAGCCATGCGATGATTAAACATGTTGTCTAAGGATGGGGATGGGGTATCAAAGAAGGTGGACATTAGGTACCGGGCCTCGCAGAGAAGTAGTATCAAGCCAAAGATTAGGAACAAAATTAAAAACCATACAGTACACAATAAACATTATGATGAATGGGGGATGCGGTAAGCGAATCTATTTAAGAGTAGGGTTATAGGATAGGAACGGGGCGGGTAGTTTAGGGTATGAAATGAAGCGGAACACTATGCATGTCAAATGTTGTCTGCATAATAATATACCTCGCAAGGACAGAGTGATCAGCCAGGTAGATAAGTGGTGAGTAGGACGACCGGCCCATTCGATATTAAGCTTGGTGGGGAGGGAAAAGAAGAGGAGAGTAAAGCAATGAAATGGGGAAAGACATTTGCGTGTTCGGAACGATGCAGTTTGTCTGTTGCGATACCGCGGCTTTTTTGCTTCAGCCCTTCACAGCCGTTGCCGTCTTCTCTCCAGCAGTTAGTTTATAGCTAATTGTTCTATGTCCACCTCATCAATTCAATGACCCCTTTCTAGAAATAAAATAATAGCGGGAGCGTGTCCAGCTAGAGCAAAATTCGCCGACTTGGCTATATGGGTGTAAACAGGAAGAAAAGGTAAGAATTGGGGTAATACGGTCTCTCAGTAAAAACTTCCATATGGCTGTAGCAGAAAAAAAGAAAACCTGGAAAACATGAATCATGTAAATAGTAATAAATGGAAGATCTGGGGTATAATAAATTGGTAGGAGGTAGTAAAAATGAATAGACAATCAAGGCACTACGGGGGGGGTGGGAAACAGGAATGAAAGACAACTAAATGGGATATCAAGGAGCGTAAAGGTATCATCATCATATCGTTGGAATGAAAGCCAAAAAGGAGCGTCATCGTCATCACGTAATATTTGATTAGTCATCACACGGTAGGTATTGGGAAAGGAGTCGGGTGGGAAAACAAAGAAAAGCCATGATAAAAACGAACACATGGCTGAGTAGATGGTACACATGGATGAGACGGCTCGGAGGAAATCAATTAAGAAAATGGGCAAGGGGAAAAAGACATGATAATGCGATACAAGGGTTCGAAAGTGCCAAAATCAAGTCGACTCTGCAACTTCATTTTCTAGTTTATTTTCTCTGGTTGATCAAGCTTTCACCCCAGAAGGACTAAATAAGTCCCGGAGGAACTTGAAAATTGTCCGTTTTTTCGACTTCCAAGTCCTACCAGATGACATCTGTGGTGGCCCAGGAGCTACAGACATCGGCCCTACAATATCTTCATCACCTAGATCTGGAAACTTCTCCTTGTCCAGCTTGGGGATTTTGACAGCTTCAACCAGGTGGACATGTTTCATAATAATGGGCTTGCTGTCCATTCTGACAGGGTTGCCCTTGCTATCTTCCAAGCCTGCGACGAGTTGGTCATGCGTTTCTCTCCACCGTGCATCGACGGAGTCCCATTTTTCTTCTGTTAGGTAGTAGATGTTGGAGGTAAGGCCGTAATGTTCACGGATGCGGATGAGATGCTTCGCGTAGTTGCAGCGGGCGCGGGACCAGTTTGTTGTGTGTGATTCCAAGGCTTCGAGAGTTCGGGTTTGGGGGAGGTAGGGTTCGGGCCTGATGGTGAAGTTGGCGTGGCCTAGTTTGTTCGACCATGCGTCATTTGGTTCTGGCATTGCGACTGGGGAAATGTCTGGGACTTGCCCTATGGCAGCTACTAGTTGTCGACTTATGGATGATAGGGAGGGTTGATTTGATAATGGGGGTGAAGGTAAGCATGCTGGTCGGGAGGTGTCCAGGGAGTTGTGGGAGGTGGTTGGGTGTGAAGTGTCAGTCACATCTGCGACGGAGGGGGATTGCAATGGTGATTGAATGAGGGATATGTCATCCCCTTTCAGGAATTCCATCATCATAGGTGGCAAAAGCGGTGTTGTCGCCTTCGGTTGAATCTCTGTTATACTTTGACGATTTGCCTTGTCAATATCCAGGCCTGGAATACCGGCCTCGTTTAACCGATCTTCAAATATCGTTCTCGCTGGCGAAGAAGAATTCTGACTGTGTCGAATAGATAGAGAGCTGACTGCGGGCCTCACTAACATCGATGTTGCGGAATTGGCACGCGATCGCAATGATTCATCATATTTCCCCAAAACTGCAGCAGTATCTGGTCTCTGTTTTTGTTTCCATTTGGATGACATGGAAGTAAATCGGGTACTTATTCGAGATATACCGTGAAAAGAGGCAGATTGGGTATTTTCGGGTTTTCGTTTCTTAGGCGTACCGGCGCTTTCTACAACATCGTCGGAAAGGTCGTATTCATGAGACCCCAATATCATGTCATCACCGCCACCAACACGATCACCCGTGTGAATCTTGTTAAAATGACCTGTAATTTGACCAAAACCGATGTCAAAACTAGGAAAATGATGGTTTCTAATTTCAGTGCCACAGGAACACTTACGAAAATATGGACAGCCTCCAACAGGACTTGTCTCGCGCTCAAGTGGTTCCTCCTTCACATCGGTCAATTGTGTCTTCATCGCGCTGTACCCCTCAGAGAGGCTCCCGAGACCAGGGGAAGATGCTAGCGACGAGGTGGAGCTGGGGAATCTGTTATGGGTTCTCGTGGAGAAGAGCGAAACGGCAGGGGATCCTGGGTTGGACGACGCGACGGATTGCGGTGACTGCGGGTAGGGAATGGCGAAGGGCAGAGACTGAGTTGATTCCATGTCTGAGTGTGTGCTTTCGCGTTTGGTTGCTTCGAAGAGTTGTGACAGACGAAACATTGTCACGAAATAATATCCTTTTTGCTTCTTTTTAAGAAACGTTCTTAGGGCAATTGAGTATACGGCATGGTATAATATAAGTGCGGTTGTGGTGGCGCGTGTATGCCTTGTGAGGCCTTGAAGAACGACTTTGCAGGTGACAAGCCCAACACGCGATAAAATACGTGGAATTGAGGGGATGGCAGTCAAGGATCTAAGCTGGCAAAGGTGTGATGATTTTCTCCACAACTTCAGACACAACAACGGCAAGAAAGGGAACGCGGAGATGTTCGTGGAGGTGATATCGCTCTTTATCCTGTTTGACCACAACCTGATCCAACAGTTGTGCGGTGTTGGTTGTATGGATGGATGGATGTATGTACCGAAGGAGATAGCAGACTTGTTCTGCTGGCGTGTAGGATGGCGTTACCGCATTCGACAGTTGCTAGTAAATTATTTTAAAGACCCCCAAGACTAGCGGCGAGTGATCTTAATACGATACGGCGGGAAGAGACAACAGCAACGACGCACAGGAT